TACAGTAGCCCAGAATGAACAAACCAAACACTGGCTTTAGAAAGGGTCATTCGCATTTTCAAGTTTTTGCCTCTGCATATACAGCCTTTCTGTATACAGTATACCTGATATCTTGTCTGCAATGTTTTCTGTTGTTGTGTGTGATGAGCTCAAAATGATACTTTAGCTCCCCCCACTGTCTCAGGAGTCTTAACACACCAGCAGATTCACAGTGTGTGCAGTAGACTAAATCACTGATATAAACCTGCTGATGATACTGTTAAACACTGTTACTATAATTATTAAGCAATGTACCTGTATGTGTCTGTATTCTACAGTGTAGTAGGGTCACTGAAGAGTCTTAGGGGTTTGTTCACTAGTAGAAGGCTGGTGTGTGTTTTTTAGTATAAACACATACTCTATTTCAAAACTTTGTACCCTAATGCCATGTTTTTAAATGACTGCACCATACAGTTTTTTTTTTGTTGTTGGATCATTCACCTCAATTAAAGCCTGACATTTTGGAAACTGGAATCTGAATAAAGTTCTCTGGGTTTGAAAAACACAGCATGGAAGATTGATGGATCCATCAGCTTGGTGTGCTTTATTTTCAGCAGACTCAGTTGTGTAACTGTAGCAGAGGCAGAAATGGAAATGCTTCAAACTCACCAATAACATTTTTATCCCTGCTGTCCTTTTACACTTGTTAACTGAAACATGTCCTCTAACGGTGATCAAGCCAACAACTAATTCAAAAAGAAACAGGAGTGTATGTTACACCATTGCAATATCAATTGTTGGGGTTATGTAATGGATGCTGAAGCAACCCAGACAAAGAAAAACAGGGGAAATAAAATCATATCGTAACCTACAGAACAAAGGTTACGATATTGTAACCCTAGTTCTATTAGCAAAGGTGGAGTCCTCTACTGGAGTCCTAGGGTCATGCTCCTCTAATCACAAGCAAACATTCGCACACTGAGAAAAGCATAAACGTAGCCGGCCAATCAGGACGTGCCTACCCGAGGAAATGCGAATCCCACAGTTTATAGGGAGGCAGATTCACGGATCTTACGTCCAACACCCTCTTCAGCAAGCGGTGTAGGAGCGACAGGGCCTCTTGGTATGGGGCTCTGCCTGTTTTAATAGAACTAGAGTTACAATGTCGTAACCTTTGTTCTATCCCACACAGACTCCACCCTCAACTGGATTCTTTGGGTATAGGGGGTGGAGCCCAATGAATGAACGCCCTGTTATGACATAACTTCGAGCCAGCCACACCTGATCCTGATGGGCTAAAGGTAAGTCGCCGTAGCCCGGTGGTGAGCAACCGAACTGCATGGACCTTTGACCAAACCTTACAAGGGTGGAAAGACAAGCATTGACAACCTGCACACCACATTTCCTGGGTCATCAAGGAACACAGAAACATGTTGGTGTATCACGCCCAGAGGGGAGTCAGGTATAATACAGTTGACATACATCCAACCCTTTTCACCAATCCTGTGTCGTTCCAGTGAGCACAGGCAGTTAGAAGGAGCCCAACATGTCCAAGAGATAGAGCCATTTGAATAGGCAGGGTGTAGACCATGATGCTGCTGTACATATGTCCTCGACACTCACCCTGCTGAACAAGGCCCCTGACACTGCCACGCTACATGTGGAGTGTGCACTGACCACAGTGGGAGGGTCTGTCCTTTTTTTTTTCTTTTTTCATCGGGCAGGCCTCGCAGGCTGGTGGCTGCTGAACACCACTCACTGCTTGGTCTATGCCGAGACACTGATGAGGTACTAGGAGCGGCCATCCATGGAAGAAGCTGCTCAGTGTGCTAGTCAAAACTGCTCAAGAGAAAATGGACGTCAGCCATGGGGATTCCCCTCTATATATTGTAGGGTACTCACGTATTCAGGTAGGCACATCCTGATTGGCCAGCTATGTTTAAACTTTTCTCAGTGTGTGAATGTGCGTTTGCGATTAGTGGAGTATTACCCAAAGAGTCCAGTAGAGGGTGGAGCCTGTGTGAGATAGAGCCCTCTGTATATACTAAACAGACAGTTGTAACAAAGCTGTCTTTTGCTAATAGCTATGTCAGTGATACTCAACTCAATGGGCCAAATCTGTCCTGCGATAGGGTGCCAAGTGGTCCAAGGACCATTTTTGTAATTCACAATGAAAATAAACTGATTCACACTGATAATTTATTTGTACTTTTGTACTTGTTAAAGAAAAAAGAGCCTAGGGAGGATCCTGGGACCCCTAACAGAGGTCTGGGCTAAGCCCTGAATGTCCTCAAATCCTCGAAACACCCATATGTACATGTGATCTGTGCAGGGCTGCTGTGACTGGATTTGACTCTTGGCAAAAATGAGGAGGGGGCAGAAAAATGTTGAAAGGTTGAAAACAGGCAGGGATAAATATCATTAATGTTTCTGTATTAACAGGCCTCTGGTACTAAGTTAAGTATCCCTGAACTACAGGATCAAACCTGTGGTGTTACAAGGAGCTGTATTACATCACCTTTCTTTATTGCCTTTTACTTGTTGCTTCCAAGTTCCTTAACATTACCTCACCTCTTCAGTGTTCCCATTTTCAGACAATTGGGTCCCGGTCTACCAGTCTGCTCAGCAGCAGTGGTCAAATACAGCACTAGGCGGTCTCTGGCTACCGGCCAGTGCTGATGTATTTTTCCTCAAAAAGAACAGATGATGAAGACCAGGCTACGCAGGCTACAACCACAAACACCAGACGTCACCAGATGTGCCCCCCCCTCACTGTAAGCATGTTGAATTTCAGATGAAGTTAAGTTGAAAGTAATGTGGGGCTGTGTTCTGTTAAAAGCAGAGGAGAAATGCATGGTTTATAGATCTTCTGATAGATAGATCCCAGTGTGTCAGGTTAAATTGCACCATGTCTGATTTGTTCCTTCCACTGGATCATTACAGGGCTGTGTTCTGTCACCATTTTTACAAGCTGACGACAGCAGAAGTCCTGATAGACACATTCTGAAGTGCACAAAGGACTCAGTCACAGTGTCGTTGATGATTTTGTTCATAATGGCTTTTTTAAAAGTGAATGTAACAAGCACTAAAGATTCGTGTCCTAACTACCAATTCAGACACTCATTAAGGGTCAGATCGTTGAACAGGTTCAATGTTATGTCTGGATAACCTACTCTAAAGTAAGCTGCAATTCAGTAATAGCACTGTGGCATTGCTTGAAAAAAAAAAAGCCCAGCAACGACTAAAACCTCCTCTGGAAGCTCCACTGGTTTGAGGTGGGAAGTAAACTCATGATGCTCTTACAGTCATCAACTTCTTTGTCATTGCTTGCTCTAGTAATCTCTTAACAGGTCACAAGACCAAGCTGCTACTAGTCAAAGTGGCCACTGGTGTTTAACAGCCAAATCTGTGTCATGTTTTCTGAAAGAGAGTAATTTCAAAGGCTTGACTCATTTACAGTGTCCTCTGCTTCCTCTCTGAAGACCTTGATTGAATGGGGATGGCTTAACTCCAGCTTTAATGTTGTCACTTGATGTGTACATGTTTAATGTGCTTTATCCATCTGTGTGCTCAAGGCTCTCTGTGTTTGACCTAGCTGCAAAGCATGTGTTCCCTCAGAAGCAGTAAAGTTACAGCTGAAGCTGTGGTTGAAGCATTTAAGCTCCTGCACACTCACACAGGTGTTTTCACTTAGTCTGGCTAATTACACCTCAGCTCAGGTTCTGCTTCTGTCCTGAGAAGCAGCTTAATCAAACTGAGAGGCCGTTTACACGTTGCCGGCTATTTTCATAAATTTCACCGTCTCCGTTTTCAAAAAATTCTTCGTTTACATTTACCCGTGTATATATACACAAGAGCATGCCAAACCTGTAGGTGGCAGTGTAACGAGAAGCTCAAGCCTTCCATGTATCTATTGTCACCATAGCAACATAGGTCGCACTTTTGACACAGGTGCAAGTTCCGGCGCATACTGTGACGTCGGCTGCCTATAACTCCGTCTATCTCTGTTTATCTCAGTTTACATGCAAACGCGCAACCGGAGTTTTCCAAAATCTCCACTCTGGCCGGAGATTTTAGAAAGACTCGTTTTCAGAGGAGAAATCTCCGTTTGCGTGTAAACAAAGGGCACAAACGAAGGAAGATGTCTCCGTTTATCAAAATCACTGTGTACGTGTAAACGGCCTCTAAGGAAGAGAAGTCACCTGTGTGGTTTTACAATGGGCGTGCCGTGTGTTTTGTTGGTGTTTGAAAGCATTTTATATAATAGAATAATCTTTGCCCGTACTCTCCCTCTGTAGGCTTAAAAGGCGCTTTTTAAAAGTTGGTAGCTCCACAGAGAGCAGCAGCTGTGGTCAACTTCAATTCACTTACAGCACAGGTGCTACTTATAACATTAACGATGGGTCTGTGTTATTCAAGTGTCCCTGTAAGCCATGACAGTGTGACAGTGAGCCAGCAAACACAATACGAGGACCCTGAGAGTGAAGAAACTAAGCCATCATTCATTTCAATATTTATCCCTGTACTTTCTACTGCAACAAAAATATGATCACATGGTTGTTTGTACTAGCAGTTTACTACAACCCATATTTACGTTTTTCGTTCAGTGGCAGCCTCTAGTGGCCATAGTAATTATAGCGGGAGCAAAAGAGATAGGTAAAGTAGTATAAAGAGCAACAAAGTCCAGGGTGAATGGATGGATCAAACATACACAGGACTTTCACCCAGGAGACTGCGTGACGTGATGTCATGACATACATGTCAGTAGGTATGTCAAGTTTTGCAACATGTATTTGATTTAACCCCAACTATAATCTTTTTTCTAAAGCTAACCACATAGGTTTATAGGTCCAAACATTAACCACATGTTAAAAACTGCAACCATCAATGGTTATATGATGCATGATGATGAAAAATGTCATGCCTGGAGCACTCTATAAATTGCCATATATAATGAAGGCTATTTTCTGATAATACCAAGCGGTGTTTTTCATCTCATGACTTCACATACACATGGGAGCTTACATTATGAGCAGAGATCTTTATTGATCAAGAAACTGACATGATGCATTTGACAAGTGTGTTTTGTAGTCACTGCACTGCTCTTTAAACAACCAGGCTGTTCAAATATCACCTGTAAAAAGTTCCTACACAGAGAAGACATCATACTATTACATTCAGAGAGAAAAGTGTAATGTAATTGAAATATTACTGCACACAGACAACATCAGATAAACAGGTGCAGATTATCACATAAACAGATGTAGGCCGTAGGAGGGTCTGTCTGTATGTGTGTCTGAGTGTTTGTTGTGAATCTATGCAGAAGGGAAAGTCGTGATCAGGTCGTGTCCCTCTGGTGGTCTCATTCTAGCACGAGCGTGAGTCTCACAGTACAGCTGCCCCTCCACAAAGAAATAGCCCTTCTGTTTGAGGTTGACGTCACAGTCGGAGCACACAAAGCAACCAGGGTGACGGTATTTGTCTCGTGCCTTCACCACTGTCCCGCTGTAGCATGAACGACAAAGAGGAAGATGTCAGACACAAAGAATAGTGTGTGTGTGTGTGTGTGTAGTAGTAGTAATTAGTTTGTACAGTATGTATATTATAAACTATAACAATGCAATGGATCCAAACTACGATTACTGACACGAGTGACCTGAAGGCAACACACAGACTGCACTAACTTTCAAATGGGATTATCTCATATTTTGCCATCTCATTATCTCAAGGTTTTACATACAAACCTATTACGTTAACTCTTTACTGTAACTCCCCTTTATGCTTTTATAATAACCTAATGGTGTAAAAAGCTGTATAATATAGTTTCAAGTGGGAAAGGAGCTGTATACGACATTCAGAACATTAATATAGCAGCAAACAACCATTTGCTATGTAGAGATATAGCAGAGTAATGGGGTCCTGATCAGGGAATAAAGGCACTCTGTGTTGTTATATGAGCTTCTCTGTTCTTTGTTTTGGTAGACAGTCCAACCACACATGCATGTTAGTCCCTGTGTGTGTATCCTACCAGCGTTATTTTTCCCCCAAGCATGTTCTGCCAAGTTCAAAATACGCTTGGGAAAACAACTGCACACTGGATGGCTAATCGCCGCCGTACCGCCGATAATGGTGGCAGGACCAGGCCCCCAAGAACGCTGCTCAGCCTTGCTTTTAAAGTTTCCCAGTGGCTGCAGCCAAAAAAGCTCCTTGTGCCCAAAAAGCATTTACTCTATAGACCTTCAAACTTAAAATTGTTGACAGAACACCTCAAACTGCAAACAAGGTCAGTTATGGCTCTTCCTAGTATGATGTTGTGATCCATGTAGCTTTCACATTTGTAAAACTTCCCTCAAGCCGAGATAAGTGATTTAAAAATCGGTGACATCATCACTAAAGTTTATGGCGCCAGCGGGGGAAACACTCCTGTGTGTATTCAGTGGACTGCACACCCTGGAAGTAAACTAGAATCTTTTTTGACATATGTGCCAGACCCCCAGGAAGAGCAGTGGGCTTTGAGACTATTTTTGTAGTGGCCAAACAGTGTAATTACAATATCAGACGATGCTATATGGTCCAAAATACTTTTTCCCATAGACTTGCATGACGAAAGAGACATCTGTAAATCGGTGGATACATTTTTTGAGCATCACAACCTCTGTGAGATGATTCATTTCACTATCGAGATTCAAAGGACTGCACGATTAAATCCTTCTATCCCCATTCATCAATTGGCAGAACTCTCTAGTCAGCCTGCTCTATGGGCTGCACAGTGTGGAAGCAGTGCCAATCGCCTGTGTAATTTTATATGAGGCAGTTGAACCATTTTGGCGTCATGCGCCACTGAGCAACTTTCCCAGACAAGAACGTGGCCCTGCCCCAGTATTGTATCCAGTTGTCTTTCAACATCCATGGTACGTGCCAGGTGAGCAATTCCACTGGACTGAATAGGCGATATCTTGTCATCCGGTATCTGTTAATTATTATACATTTATGGGCAGGATAATGTGTAATGCCCCTCCCCCACTTTAACAATGTTAACTGTCAGTATTGTTGCTGTTGTCAGCACTGTTCGTGTGGTTTGCACCATTAGCTGCTGGCCGCCAGCTTAGCCAACTCCATGTTGAGAGCCGTGTGTAGACAATCACTGCCAAGAGTCTGAATCATAGATATGCTCTGACTGTCATATACAGCTCCTTTTAAAAGGGAACACCACCTAAATTAAGATTTTTTTTTAATGTTATTTCCATGTCCAATGAAAGTTAAATCAATATTTATGAACATTAGCTTCTCTCTCCCATAGCCAGAAACCAGAGAAGTAAATCTCAAACTGGGATGTCATCAGGTATAAAGCCTGGAGCTGCTCCATAGACAATGAATGGGAGTCTGATTTTGTATGAAGCTGATTGTAATAAAGTGGGTGGACCTTGAACCAATGATTTTTTCCATTATGTTATCAATAAATAAAAAGATTTCTATAATTGCTGAACAATATACTGGCATTGAAGCGCATAATGTGATGGGAGTGTTGTTGTAACAGTGCAACAGCCCTGCAATAAATAGTATTTTATGAATGCTCAGCCTTTGTATGTTCTGACAAAAGGACTGTTAATTACTTCTATACCTGCTCTAGTTAATGTTGTTGCTGTAGTGGACTGTATTGTTCTCCTGTACTTTCCTCCACCCTTTGTTTGTATGCCTATTGATTCATGGAAGCTCTGAATGTAAATTACAGATGATTTCTTTTCCTTTCTATTCTTACTCACACAATCCCATTCCCACACTTGTCACAGACGGGCAGTTTCTGCAGGTTTCCTGTGGGCGCAGTTGGTTTGGTTGTGGGGGCTTTCACTGTCCTGGTCACAATGGGACGAGTGCCTGCCCACATGGGAGAGAGACCACTCAGCAAAACAAGCCCGTACTTACACAGGAGCACATAAATAAAAACAAAACACTCAAGAGAAATGAGGCGGGGGCACTTACAACCTCCTGAATCCTAACTGAAGCCTCCCTAATGGGCATGAGCATATTTCATAACTTGGATACAGGATACATTTTTACAACTCAATTCATAAAACAAACACAAGGAGAAGTGTTTTTGTGATGACATGTTTTGTTGATTTAAGGCTGCACAACTCAATAAGGCGTATGGCCTGATGACATAATGTGTAGCATATTGTGTGTGTTATGAGACCGGTTAGTCATACAGGGTCAAAATACTGCATGTTATCTTCATATGTGTTCCCTGTAGCATAATAAATAGAATGTACTGGAATAATTGGTTATACCACTGTTAGTAGGTCATCATGTTCCAGTTTAGTCTTTTTATATGTGTCATACATCTTGTTTTATATGTCATCCTTTGTGCTTGTGGACTGAAGGAACAGTAGCTTTTAGTGGCAGCTAATGTGTATCCAAATTAAGAATATAACAGTAAACAAATGAGCAGTGTGGGTCTTTAAATTCAGGTGTAATGTAGGATTTGCAGCAGGTTGGTTGTGTGGTTGTGGGTTCAGTCCCTGGCCACTGCGGTCCACATGTGGAGATGTATTAGGGCAACAACACTAAACCCCCAAATGTGTTCCTGATGTGTGTGTAGGATATAAAAATATGAGCTGCTTTGGACAAAGTATCTATCTTCCTAGGGTATAATATATAACGACATGTAAACCTTAAACCAGAAATAAAAACTAGACTTTAGCAAAAAAACAAAAAGAAGACTAGTGCAGGATTTATACTTGCGCGTCAAATTGATGCCATATATGCGCCGTGGGCTCTGCATAGATGTACACCACGCTGTAGCCTGACATGTACTTCCTCAGAAATATAACTGCATGTTGTGGAGAGGCAGACCTTCTGTCTATTTTTATAAGCTGAAACCATTTACTTTTTTATTCCACAGATAAGAAACAAAAAATTGTGAAGACAGTAAAGCCTCCAAAAAAATTGCATTTTAAGTCTTTTGCGTGATTTATCCTGGCTTTATATGAGCAGAGGAAATCTCCGCTAGTTGCTAGGCTAATTTATACAATACAGTTGTTTTGTCGGTGAACCTTGTGAGTTGTAATGGAGCTGAATTATGTAATATTACCTTTGTTAAATGTTGCTGTTGTCCCTGGCTTCATATGAGTAGAGGAAAAGTCCTGTAGCCGCTAGGCTAATTTATACAATATAAAATGTCATAGGCTTGTGCTAAAAACGTTAGCATGTTGTATTTGTGGGAAAAATGTGTCCAGATAAAGACAAGTGTTTGTCTGTGAATGCTGCGAGTTATAGTGAAGCTGATTCGTGTACTTGTGTTTGAAACTGTTGCCATTAAGCCATGTTTAATGTGTGTTTAATGTGTGTTTTAAATCAACTAAACTTGACAGCACTTTACAGAAACCTCCGCCGCCAACTAGTGTTTTAGAGGTGTAACTGCAAAGTGACACAGACACACCACTGCACAAGTATAAACGGTCACAACGGCATAGGCTCTGCACAGAGCTGATGCGCAAGTATAAATCCCGCTTAACTGAAACAATATTGTGTACTTACAAAACTAACTGAAATAACATAAAAATGTACAGGAAATGTTTTTAGGTTTAGTTTTAGTCTTTGTCAATTTGGATAAAAGGAGGCATTAGTGCTTAAGTTTATTGAGACTGATGTGTCTGCATGTCTACACGTCCCTCTCTTGAAATTGAAAGTAAACTAAATTGAAGACAAAAATGAAAAAGAAATAAACATAATAAGTAGTGAAAAATACAAAACTATAATAACTCTGCTGTCTTCAACAGACTGTGATGAAGACATGCCTTTTGTCAAATTATTTGCTGTTTTACTTAATTACACCAGTGTTATCCAGCCCTAATCACACAAGGATGTAATGTAGCACAGTAGCATTGCAAACAGGTGGGCAATTTAAGAGCTCATGTGAGGGTCATGTGACACAGGACACATGATGTATTGGTGTAGCCTGCTAGACAAAAAACACATTGATAGACATGAAAAAGACATAAATGTATACTTCAAACAATTAACATATTTAGAAAGAAGAAAAAAGGCCCCGCCCACTTCAAATCAGTGAGAAGAGATCAGAGAAAAAAAGGAAATACAAAACTGTAATGTAAAATAATCAAACCCTCATGCGGAGCCCCATAACTCATAGTAAAAAAGCTGATTTAGAAAATACATTTTCAGGGCCTTTTAAACATCTGTATGTGTTTCCAAAATGAGGCATGTCAATGAAAGTATAAATATTTCTCTGCACCAGTAATCATTTCAACCTGTAAGATGTCTTAGTGTTGTGGAGGTAATGGTCTGGGAGAGGTGAGGTGCTCACCATCACTGTCAATAAATTCCTGCAGGGCTTTGAACGAGCCAGACTGCCGAGGCTCCTGGGGCTCCTCCTGGTCTTTCTGTAACATCTGGTACACGTCAGAATCCTCGATGCTGGTCAAAGTCCTGGGACTGAGCAGTCACACACGTGTGCACACACACACACACATACACACACACACGCACACACAGAAGTACAATACATAGTAAGGATACAAAACACCAAAGAACACTCCAGTGATGAAGGAAGTATTTACATCTGTTTCTTAAGTGAAATTATGTATTAAAAGAATACTTCACCCACAAAATGACCATTTGTTTATCACTGACTCACCATGTGTTGCCTTGAAAAACCTTTTTTTCTTTTTGCATGCCTCCACAGTGAACAAAGAATACAAAAAAGGCAACATCCTTCATGAATTGAAGTAATTGGTGACCACGCTTAACAACAGCAAAACTGTATCAAACAGTTTACAAACTCTCACACAACTCATGCAGTGTAATCCAATCAGAGGAAAGGAAAACTCCAAATAAGAGCTCTTCTTTGTCCTGCTTATTTCTCCTAACTGATCTCAAGATAACATCAGTATGAGATTTTTACCATTTTCTCATACTTCTTAATTTCACCTCCTGAGAAAAAGCCTTCCTCTTGTCTCAGCTTGATCCTAATTTTAGATTCTAAAATGCTCCCTTTTCTCTCACTGCTGTCATCTGTATTTATCTCATAAAATATCAGCTCTTGACATAACAGTAAGGTCTTGAAGAAGACTTGGCTTTTAAATGAACCTGCACAATTTCAGAAATTTGTCTCAGTGATTGAATACAAGTCTCTGCTCTATGTATTTTATCTGTTGTCAGAGGTGAGAATCCTCTGAGAAGCCTAGGAGCACAACAAAAGAACTCCTGTGGATTTATTAGATTTAGGAGAAACAGATCAGTATTTAGTAATCTACAAATAAGAAGCTGATTCATGTCTGATGAGGCAGAGAAGAGACTGATGTTAGCAACAAATTTTTCCTCTTGGAAGTCTCAGTTATCCAGTCATATGTGCAGTACTTCCCAGAAACATGCATTTTTGCTTAACTCTTACTATTAAAAACAGATCTGCAAACAAGTAGCGCACCTGAGTGAAAATGTGAAAAAGTCTTAGTGAAAATGCATATGTTTGGGAAGTACTGAGCATACAACTGGATAAATGAGACTTGGATTACCGCACTAGTTGCATGAGAGTCTGTAAACAGATGGTTTTATATAGGTTTGCTGTTGTTAAATGTTGTCCCCGTTTACCTCAATTCATGAAGCATGTTCACCTTTTTTGGATTCTCCGTTCACCTTGGAGGCATGCAAGCAAAACAAAGGCTTCTCCATGAATGAAATGTAACACAGTGAGTAACTGATGGTCATCTTGCAGGTGGAGTATTTTTTTTAATCCATTATGTATTACTAGTCCATACCCATTGGTAGCGTTGTCACCTTCTACCTATGCCAATCCTCAGTGCCTACAGTATGTGCAGTTTCACACAGATTGACCACGTCAGTGAGTAGAAAAACATGGGACAGACAGAATGACTGACTGACAGAATGACACACTGACAGTTTCCGTGATTATGTACAGCATACCACACCATGACTTAGACATACCAAAAATAAGAAAAACAACAACATTGGGCCACAGGGGGAGCCACAGGTGGAGCCACAGCGATCGGTCACATTTTAGCCATTTTTAAGCAATTTTCTGTTGTTATAGCGCCACCCAGTTGCCTATTAGAGTTAAATTTCTCCAGTCACCTTGAGGCGTCCTGTTCTACATATCTACCAAGTTTAGTAAAAATCGATATGGTGGTTTGGCCTAGATAAGAAATTAGCTCTCTAGCGCCCCCATTTTCTTTGATCGGGTCAATAATGGAGGGGTCCCCTCAGATTATGTGTGGTCATATGCCTACAAAGTTGCGTGGTGATCGGTGAAACCCTTGAGATGTTATACACCTTTATGTGATGAGCCACGCCCTCCGCAATATTCATTGCCTTATAGAAGTTCAGTTTAGTAAGTTTTCCAACTTTTGCCAAGAGGGAACTTTAGATATTGGTCTCTAGATTATGTTCACCGAGTTTCATGCAGATCGATCAAACTTCCTAGTAAGAGATCGATTTTAAGTGTTTTTCAAAAAATTCAAAATGGCGGAAAATCTATATAACCGGAAGTTATGGGTTCTTGAGGCAAATTTGTTCCTCATGAGGAGAGGCATCTCTGTGCAAAGTTTCATGTCTCTACGACATACAGGGCATGAGATATGCCCATTCAAAGTTTGCAATTTCAATTGGTTGCTATAGCGCCCCCCTTTTGGCCAAGTGATGTAATATTTCTTCATTCACATCCTCCCATGACCCTCTACCACTGTGCCAAATTTCACATGGATTGACCAAGTCAGTGAGGAGAAAAACGTGGAACAGACACACAGACAGAGTTTTCGTCATTATATAGTAAGATAAGCTAAATGCACTTAAAGTATAAAAAGTGAAAGCAGTCATTCTGCAGTAAAATGTTCCCTGTCAGTGTTTTATTATCATATATGTTTTTGGATTAATATTACCATGGTATTATTATGTATGTTGCATTTTACTGCTGTAGATGTTTAAGGTTGTGCTAATTTTAACTCCCTTATATGCTGTTGGGTTGTTATATCTACAGCAATGCATCATGTTCTGTAAGATCATCATATGTTTGCAGTATCACTGTCCTTTGAGAACCATATATCTCTAAAAAGTCGACTTTTCATGATATCAGAAAAATAAAACCATTGAGCTTTTTGAGCATTGTGTTGATACATTTCCCAGCTGGTCCAAGATGGGTTTTAGAGAGTTTATGTAGCCTAAGAAGGAGGAGATTTTTTTAAACACACAGACTGTATGTGTTCCTTTAATAAAGGACCCTTTCCTTCAGAATCATTACAATTCAAAATCAACAAGGTTGGAGAATCATTCCTATGTTTCCAGGGTCCTTTGTTCCCCAGCTCTCGAAAACACACAATGGAAACATGACAAAGGGTCCTATGTCAGGGTCCCATGTTCCCCAGTTCCATAGCACATAATGGGAACTTGCAAAATGTTTCTCAGTTCTGGATTCACTTAATATGATATATGTCAGGTTAGGGGATGAAAATCATGAATCTGCGGGTGATGACATTGTACTTTTACAGGTCTCTGTCTTAATATAGATGCTATTTCTGTTAGAACAGTTCAAATTATTTGCAGCACAAGAAAAATAAAAAGAACTATTATGAATTAACAAATAAAATAACAACTAACCAAAAGGAACAAAAAAGAGGCTAACTAAGAGGTCTAGGGCCAGGTTTAATCCCATCTCTGAACAAGTTATGGTAAGGAAAAAAAAAACTGCTTTGGGGATTTGAACCCTTCACACACGCTCTTACTTGTTGATTTTACTCTGGCATTTAATCTGTTTATGGCTCTTCATATAATATAATGTATCTTGTGTATTGAAACAACACATTCTCACTCTGACCTCATCACATATTGACGTTTTGGTCATAGACTTTCAATGTCCATTTACGATGGGCAAGGTACCCTGGTTGCGTTGGTTGTTGACAAGTTCTGCCCGTTACATTGTTTTCTTTCAAAATACACTTCTGTTTTCACAGGAAATTTAATGTTTACATACAGTCTCTTTCAAAATAAAAGCACTATGTCGGTGCAACACTGAGAATTTAGGTTTTTTCCCTTCAACAACAAACAAACATGGTTGGTTTTAGGCAACAAAAGCACATGGTTGAGTTTCAGAAAAAGAACAGGATTTGGCTTTAGAATCTTACGGGATGCGAACATCGCTCTCTCGGTTGAAAATTGGTGTTTGTTGGATCCATAACCCACCCCTCGCGCCCCACCCCATTTGGACTTTTGCCACCTACTGGGACTTTCATCCTTGTCCCATCGCATTTCCCCCTGACACCACTGGGCACCATTAAACTATAAAGGCAACCGGCTGTGTATCGTGCCAACATTAAAGGATGCTTTTTTTTCGTTGGTTTCTGACGCAGCAAGTCACTGATCAAGCGCCAAAATTCGACGATTCTGGAGACTGGGCTCAGTGAAATGCAGAACAAAAGCAAAAATATTTTAAGGACATAAAGTGACGATAAGTGACATTGAATACTACAGAAAGGGCTGATGTTTGTTAAAGGAATATTGAACTGGGGAACTTAGGACCCTGGGAACATACAGTAGATGCACTCCCAAATTTGGAGATACATGGTTTACATTAGGCAGGAAGGGTAAATTGTAATCTGAAAAATGACTCGCCCAAAGCTGTCTGAAAAACAGTACAATATTGTCCTCTGAGAGTGGAAGTATAAAGTTGCAGTAGATGGAAATATTCAAGTAACTAAGTAAATGTACTTGGCTGCCACTATCTGTGGCACAGCACTGCTTTGGTTTGTAGGCTGCCAGTATGACTGTGACAAATTAACATTTTCCCCCAGACCTCCCTAAGTCAGTTTCATTAGGAGATATTCATGCTTGTGGCAGAAATGATGCATTACAATCTTTATTGGATCGCTCTGAGATTTTTTTTTTTTTTTTAAACTTGTGGTTACTGAGTGAAGCAGATCAGGTGAGAACAACCAGCTGGAGATTATTCTCGGAGTTAGATCATGAGTCAACCTTAAAAGGAGAAAAGGAGTCAGATACTGAATGTGGGATGAGGAAGAAAATTCATGAGCTGGGCCACATACAGGGCATTGATTGATGAGAGATTTGCATGGGTTTTACAGCATGCTGATTCCACAACATGCCCTTTTTCATGCATATTGTAATATTTCCTCTCCATAATCATATTCTGGTTCATAATAATTCCAGTCGTCTGGTTACAGTGGTTATGAATACATTACAGTAACATCTACATTCCTATTTTACCATGTAAAGTAGCTCAGAAGTGATGCAGGGTGAGTGTGTGTATCAGCTGACATGACCGAGGTTTGACGTGATATATGTCTTACTCAGAGTCAGTGGTTCAGCCATGGACAGATTCATTCCTGTGGGCTGTGGTAATATATTCTCAGAGTGACACACCATATATCAGGTGGCCTAATGAAATCCACATGAGGGGAGGGCTGAAGGCTGAAGGCTAACACATCCTCCCACATCTGTGGCTGTGTTAAGCTACTCAGCTGATACCTTCACACACACTGACGAGATTGAGAAGGTGAGTCATGTAAAGAGCAGGTGGAATAGCCTACAGTCGATGTTACAACAGCAAGGCAGGACAATAAAAGTAAAGGAGAATAACATGGAGGGATCACAATGTATTGCTGCATCAATGATCATTACACCAGAAAATATAATACGGATGGATGAAAATGGACACTTTGCTATTCTTAGGTCATTACTGCTCGTGGGGAAAAAAAGTTTGGCCTGAGGGCAGTGCCAGGGGAAAGTTTTCTATGGTGAAATAATGCATCAGTTTGTCCAGTGATAACATATTCTGAGCTCAGCTTATTTCCAGAGCTGTTGGCTGAAGAAGCTGGTGAATGAAATCAAGTTTATAATATTTCATCACAGATACAGCTCTCCAAGGTCATGAATCAATCATTTAATTAGTATGGCAGAAAAGCAATGAGCAATTCTGCAAGCAGTCAGTTAATTATAAATATCTTTTATAAGGAAAACAAAAGGACATTTGTTTTTTACCGCTTATTAAATGTGAGGATTTGCTGCTTGTCTCTGTTTCCTATCACTGTGACTTTAAGTCAGATAAAATAAATGATGTAAAGGTCTTGTGCTTTTGAAAATTGTGAGTGCTTTTTTTAATTCTATTTTTTATTTTTATCTTTAGCTATTTTATTTATTTTATTATTTATTTTATTTTATCTTATATATTTTATTATATTATATTTTATTTATTAATTTTTTTACTGCCTACTCCACCCTGTAACAACTGCAACCTTATTTGATCTTTTTTTACTCTTTACCCTTTTTAAACTCAATTTTAAATCATTTTAATTATCTTTTACTATCATTTATTAATTAATTTAACCTTTTATGTTTTATATTTTATTGTTCTGTAAAGCACTTTCAATTCAACTAAAATGTGCCATACAAATAAAGCTGCCTTGCCGTATAAAGAACAAAAAGTGTGTTTCAGCTCAAAGGCCCAGTTGAACCCAAAAATCCAAAATACATATTTTTCCTCTTACATTTAATGCAATATATCAGTCTAGATTGTTTTGGTGTGAGTTGCTGAGTGTTGGAGATATCCGCCATAGAGATGTCTGCCTTCTCTCCACTATAATGGAACTAGATGGCACTCGGCTTGTGGTGCTCAAAGCGCCCAAAAGAAATACATTTGAAAAACTCAACAGTAATGTCTCTTCCCAGAAATGGTGATGCAGTCAGTCAAGATAATCCACAGACCTTGCTGTGAGCAGTTTCATGTCAGAACTATTTTCTTTCCACCAAACAAACACCCACCAAATGTCATTTTGGGCCGGAGCACGCCGCATGACTTGCAAATACAATTGTGACCACTACACCAAAATCCATGCTAAGCCTTGTGCCGCTCCTGGGAGCCTGGGATTATTGATATCAAGTGTTATGTAGTTGTGAAGATATGTCACCTTTAACCAGAGACCAACTGTTGAAAAGGCTACATGACAAACCAACATAACCATCTGTTGAGTCATATTGTTATTGCTAGGATGACTTTTGGATAATCAGTGTACTTATGTTTCGCATGCTGCTAGCTGCTGTTTGGCACTGGGCTTTTAAAGAACCTGGGTGCCATGTTTAAGTGTAGATAGAGTGAGAATAATCACCTCACAGGCTTGGGTAAAACCAGACCTCGGATCTGGCCTTCCATGGCGTCCTGGATGTTGCCTGTGGAGTAGAGGCCTATGGGAGTGTTGTAGGCCGCACTGACCACCTGATGGGTGTCATCGATGTTTGCTGCCGCAATGAACGGCTGAGCTTTCCGGTTGTGAGCTGTGCCAATTGGTTTATATTCCTATAGGGAGGAGAAGACAATGTTATAATTGAGACAATCATGAGATAGTGATGTGAAGCAAAATGGCTCATCTCTAATAAACGTGAATCAATTTCTCAAACACACTCGCAAACCTGCTGTTCTGCTTCCAGGTTCAGTTTGTATGGGTGACTTTTACCATCCTCCACGACGCGTGGTGACCACAGTCTTGATTCATTTCTAGAAATAAGAATCAGATCCTGGTTAGAAGTTCACCACAACATGTCAACTGTTGAGTGACTCTCCTTTGAGTCAATGAGCATGTAAATTGTCTATAACCCCAGCCTACAAGGTTAGGGTTATAGACAGTTATAGCGGTTTAAACAGTTATAGAGGTTTAAACTTCTGCTCACATGTTCCTGCCGTACCATAGGATACATTTTATTTGGTCAAAGTCATAAGCTACACCTAATTCTAATGATTTTTGAATGTGCTGTTGGATAAAGTTTCCCAATAATCCAGCCAAAAAAGAATGGTAAGATTCTAAAACTAAAGTCAGATGGTGGAAACACAGACAGAAGTTTTCAATAACAGCAATTTGACAGATGTCAGCACAGTACACATCATGTAGGCTATCACTTCCTGTTTGTACAAAACAGGTAAGTATAGTAATTTCTTGCTCATTAACTGTAGAACATATTAATATGAAGATCAGTTTGTAGTTCAGACTGTCCAGCAGTGGTTCACAACCTGGTGGTCAGCACATATGAAGGGATCAAAAGATAAATCAGAGGGTTGTAAGATGATTAAAGGGTACACAGAATTCTCTGATTTTCCTTTCCTCTTATTTCTGGTGAATTACTGGACAATTGGGCCTCTTCAGGCTCTCAAAAAGTATATATGAGAGTGTTTCTTTATCTTCTGTGAGGGTCCAAGGACAGAGATAATATTGGGCTTTATAAACAAAATTGAATTGAACTGAATTGAATTAAACACTAAGACAAAAAACATCTCTCTTTGGTAACTACTGGAATTAAATGGGTGACTAGGCATCACTTTGTTTTAAGGGGTTACAAGCCAGAAAGGTTGAGAACCACTACTGCACAGTACCAGTAAGCTACTGTATGTATGAACACTGAGCAAAAGTATACATTTAACACTTCTGTTTTTGTTCCCAGTTTCCATGAGTTAAAGCAAAAGGCTTAGTCTTCTTAAATTTTCTTCACACATTTGTTTAAATGTCTGTCAGTGAGCACTTTGCAAACATAAGCCATAATCCATTCACCTGTCAGGTGTGGATTATCAAGATGCTAGTTGAATGACATCTTGGCAGTACATCCAACGGGTTTACTGAACCAGCCCATGACCTCCAGCTTCTTAACCAAGAAGCAAGGTCGTCTGTGAATCAGCCTCTGAGATGATTTCTGACAGTTTGTGCAGAAATTCTTTGGTCGTGCAAACCAACTGTTGCATCAGCTGTTGAGGTGGCTGGTCTCAGACGATGTTGCAGTCAAAGGAGCCAGATGTGGAGGTCCTGGGTTTGAGAGGTTACATGTGGTCTGCATTTGTGAGTAAGGTTGGCTGTACTGCCAAAATCACAAAAATGACATTGGAGTTGGCTTATGGTAGTGAAATGAACATTCAGTTCATGGGCAACAGCTCTGGTGGACATTTCTGCAGTCAGCATACGAAATAAATAAATATGCTGTTTAATCAGTAACCTGATATGACACACCTGTGAAGTGGATGGATTATTATGCTCACTAACACAGAATTTGTGAACAAAATTTGAGAGGACCAAGCCTTTTGTGTGCATACAGAAGTCTTAAATCTTCTATTTCAGCTCACGAGAAATGGGGTAACAAAAAGTGTTGTGTTTATATTTTTGTTCGGTATCATAAGGACACATTTGTTGACACTTGCATATGGACTGACTCCACATAGTGAAAGCAACAGTTAGGGCACAGTATGTAATCCAATACACCACCACACCTTAATATAGAATTGAATCCACAGCTGTCTGACACAAAAATGGAACAATATAAACTTCATAAACACAGTAATTATTGCAAAGCTAATGTATTATGTTTCATTATACTGTGCAGGTGTTGGCTTTACTGTGTCCACCACCTGTTGGTGTGCATGCTTTTGGTTTCTGAATATAACCTTTCAACAGTGAGACTGAGCTGGCTGGTCGACTCTTTGATCTTGTTCTGGGCTTCACAGTGCAGCATGTCTGCGGCCGGGACTCCCTCGATGGCCACGATGACATCACCGGCGCACAAGTTGGCTATGGCTGCCTTACTGCCGGGAGTGATCTGGAAGTGAGAGGAAGAAAAAGTAAACAACAGAAATAAAGACAATTTATTTTGATTCCTTTGTGAATTCATCCAGAGCAGGAACTGATGATTTTACCCAAAGAGAAAGAAGAGAAAGAGAGAGAAATCCACCCAGTAATTCAGAAATATTTTTAATGTAAATTTCTAACCACAAACAATCACCAATCCATCTATTTTCATCTGCTTATCAGAGGCTGGGTCGCAGGGGCAGCAGGATTAATAAAGTACACCAGACGTCCCTCTATCCAGCAACACTTCCCTCCCCTGCTCCTGGGGGATCTTGAGGTGTTCCAAGGCCAGACGAGATAGATAATCTCTCCAGCCTAACCTCTAACAGGAGGCACTTAGGTGGCATCCTGATGAGATGCCCAAACCACCTTAAATGACCCATTTAAACACAAAGGAACAGCAGCTCCTCTCTGAGCTCCCTGCGGATGTCTGAGCTTCCCACCCTATCTCTAAAGCTGAGCCCAGCCCCCCTACAGAGGAAACACATTTTGGCTGCTTGTATCTGCGATCTCATTCTTTCAGTCATTACCCAAAACACATGACCATAGGTGAGTGTTGGGACGTAGATGGACCAGTAAATGGAAAGCTTTGCCTTCCAGCTTTGCTCCCTCTTCACCATGACAGCCTGGTGCTGCAGCAAACCGCCGATCCATCTAACGCTCCATCTTACCCTCACTTGTGAACAAGACCCCGAGATACTTTAATTCCTTTGCTGGGGGCAGTGACTCTCTCCCAACCCAGAGGGGGCAATCCACAGTTTTCTGGCAGGGAACCATGGCCTCAGACTTGGAGGTAGTGACTGTCATCCTCACCAATTTACACTTGGCTGTAAGCTGCCCCAGTGCATGCTGTAGGTCACAGTGTGATGAAGCCAACAGAACCACATCATCTGCAAAAAGCAGACATGCTTGAGGCCGCGAAACTGGACCCCTCTCCCCATGGCTGCGCTGAGTCCTGTCCATGAATATCACAAACAGAATCAGTGACAAGGCACAAGCCTGGCAGAGGCCAACACCCACTGAAAACAACACCATTGCTGAGATGTAACTGACATCTCCAACTGATGGGGGTTGTGAGAGATTTGGGGCCTTAAAAGATTAATGCAGCAGAAAAGGTTGAAAGCCCTGATTTAGCACAATAGTAGAGGTCAATCAATCAATCAATCAATTTTATTTATAAAGCCCAATATCACAAATCTCAATTTGCCTCACAGGGCTTTACAGCATACAACATCCCTCTGTCCTTTGGACCCTTGCAGCAGATAAGGAAAAACTCCCAAAAAAAAAACCCTTTAACGGGGGAAAAATAACGGTAGAAACCTCAGGAAGAGCAACTGAGGAGGGATCCCTCTTCCAGGACGGACAGACGTGCAATAGATGTTGTACAGAACAGATCAGCATAATAAATTAACAGTAATCCGTATGACACAATGAGACAGAGAGAGAGAGAGAGAGAGAGAGAGAGAGAGATGCAGGACAGACGGTAATGACAGTAGCTTACAACAACATTAATGAAAGTAATAATATTATAGTTATAGTTCTGACTATTGTGGTACAATATGTTGAAAGTATATATTAATATCTGGCAGTATACATATGTGACAATAGTCATAAGTGTATAATAACAGTAGAAGTATGACTAATGACGAATGATGGCAGCAGCAGCAGGAGGCATCTGGCAGGACCACGGCAGCAGCACAACCACACACGTCACGCTGTCCAGGCACCGCTGTGATATGAGTTAATCTGAGAGACAGTGGAGCACAAAGGCTCCGGAGAAGAAGCCGAGTTAGTGACATCCAGAATGGCCGAGTTAGCAAGATGCAGTAATAGAATACGAGAGAGAGAGAGAGAGAGAGAGAGAGAGAGAGAGAGAGAGAAGGTGCCCGGTGTATTATAGGGGGGTCCTCCGGCAGACTAGGCCTAAGTCAGCCTAACTAGGGGCTGGTACAGGGCAAGCCTGAGCCAGCCCTAACTATAAGCTTTATCAAAGAGGAAAGTCTTAAGTCTAGTCTTAAATGTGGAGACGGTGTCTGCCTCCCGGACCGTAACAGGAAGATGATTCCACAGGAGAGGAGCCTGATAGCTGAAGGCTCTGGCTCCTGATCTACTTTTGGAGACTTTAGGGACCACGAGTAACCCTGCGTTCTCAGAGCGCAGTGTTCTGGTGGGATAATATGGCACTATGAGCTCTCTAAGATATGACGGAGCTTGACCATTTAGAGCTTTATAAGTTAACAGTAGGATTTTAAATTCAATTCTGGATTTTACAGGGAGCCAGTGCAGAGAAGCTAAAACAGGAGAAATATGATCTCGTTTCTTAGTTCCTGTTAGTACACGTGCTGCTGCATTCTGAATTAGCTGGAGAGTTTTTAAGGACTTACTAGAGCTACCTGATAATAGAGAGTTACAGTAATCCAGCCTTGAGGTAACAAAAGCGTGGACCAATTTTTCTGCATCTTTTCGGGTCAGGATAGGCCTAATTTTCGCAATATTACGCAGATGAAAAAATGCAGTCCGTGAGGTTTGCTTTAAATGAGAATTAAAAGACAAATCTTGATCAAATATTACTCCGAGGTTTCTTACGGTAGTGCTAGAGGCCAGAGCAATGCCATCTAGAGAAACTATGTCATCAGATAAAGAGTCTCTGAGTTGTTTGGGGCCAAGAACAATAACTTCAGTTTTGTCTGAATTTAACATCAGGAAATTGGTGCTCATCCAATTTTTTATGTCTTTAAGGCAGTTATGGAGTTTAGTTAATTGATTACTTTCTTCTGGCTTCATCGATAAATACAACTGTGTATCATCCGCATAACAATGGAAATTTATAGAGTGATTTCTAATGATGTTACCTAAAGGAAGCATATATAGAGTAAATAGGATTGGTCCGAGCACAGAACCTTGCGGAACTCCAAAACAAACTTTGGTACGTAAGGATGATTCATTACGAACGTCAACAAATTGAAAACGATCAGATAAATAAGATTTAAACCAGCTTAGTGCTGAACCTTTTAGGCCAATTAAGTGATCCAGTCTCTGCAGTAGAATTTGATGGTCAATTGTGTCAAACGCCGCACTAAGATCTAATAAAACAAGAACAGAGACGAGTCCTTTGTCTGAAGCAATCAGAAGGTCATTTGTAATTTTAACTAGAGCTGTCTCAGTGCTATGATGCACTCTAAATCCTGACTGAAATTCCTCAAATAAATTATTATCCTGGAGAAAATCACACAGCTGGTCTGCGACTACTTTCTCAAGGATCTTTGACATAAAGGGAAGATTAGATATTGGTCTATAGTTGGCTAACACCTCTGGATCCAGGGTGGGCTTTTTTAGGAGAGGTTTAATTACAGCTACCTTAAAAGACTGTGGTACATAGCCTGTTAATAAGGATATATTGATCATATCTAATATATGAGTGTTAACTAAAGGAAAGACCTCCTTAAGTAGCCTAGTTGGGATGGGGTCTAAGAGACACGTTGATGATTTAGATGAAGAAATCACTGCGGTCAATTCTTGAAGAGAAATTGGGGAGAAGCAATCTAAATATATATTAGGTCTTACAGCTGTGTTTGAGGTTAGATAGGTACTATCTGAGGACAGGAGGTCATGAATTTTGCCTCTAATAGTTAGAATTTTGTCATTAAAAAAGCTCATAAAATCATTACTGCTAAGGGCTAGAGGTGAATGCTTACATGTATTAGTTAGTCCCTTATTGGGCTTTACATAATGTAATACATTCAAGGGTGGAGCCAGAGGTTGTAAACATGCAGGACTCAACCCAAACCTAGGGGGTTCAGGGGTCATGCTCCACTTGGGTGATTTTTTTCTCCATTAACAGCAGCTATATGTGCTATTTTCTCAAGCCATGTGAGATAAAAGAATGCCTAAAAATCTGTATATCATTTGGGAAAAACATGACAAAGGAAAAAATCATCTTGTAGAGCATACATCCTGTTTTGTATCTAAGTGTTCTCCAACAACCTTTTTCATTCTAAAACAATGACAAATGCTGAGGATGACAATTTTTCATTCAATTTCATTTTTCAAAATTGTCTGATGTCACTATCTTTAAGTCACATAACACAGGTGAGTAAACAGCATAACTGAGCTTGAAACCTATTTTTGTATGTGCCAGCCCGCTCTCACTCCCAGCTCGCCTGATACCAGACGAATCAAACACCTTTCATGGCAGTACAATACGCCCCAGGCTGCTGCAGGCAACTACTGCAAAATAAAGAGTGAGAAAGTATGTGTATAGAGGACGGGAAGGTTGGTGAATGGTCAAACAAACTCTGGACTTTCACCAGGGAGCCCGCTATTTGTTGCCTTTTTTTCTAAACCTAACCACATGCTTTCTTTGCCTAAACTTAAGGATATAAACCTAAAATTAAGTTTTACAACTGTTGTAAGTTTATTTTGAAAAAGGCTGCACGCATGTACATTTGTATTGTACTGTACACTTCCTGTGAATATGGAAGTGTATTTTGAAAAGACATAAGTGTAAACTGATGCAGGAGGATACTTAGCACGTCCTATTTAGACATAGGTCCACTAACAAAGCGGCAGTATTTGATGAGTTGGGATGAGAGCGTGTTGGAGTAGAGTTGACAGATTCAGTGTTTAGCTGACAAACCTGCTACATTTAAATCCATGCCATAATAATCTAGGCTGCTCTAAATGCAAATAATTTGTAGTTTCTGAGAACCTAAATGATTCAGGTCTTTTAAGAAAATATCTTAAGAAGTGTCAGGTAGTTCATCACTTTTTTAATATGAAAAACATCCAGAAATGCTGTCGACTTCTCTGAGCCCAAGCTCATCTGAGATGCACTGACACAAAGTGGAAAAGTAGAGTACACATTTCAAATTGTTTTTTGAAAATTAAGGACGTTGTGTCCTCCTAACCCGGTCTCATTCCAAAGTTGTCAAATACCAGCACTTGGGCATTGACTTCCGCATCAGACACCAA